TGCTTCGAATGGTGCAGACCGGGTAAGACTTGGGCGTCTCCTTGGGCGTGCAGTCGTAACATGCGGTAACACCCTTCTTGATGACCTGGACGTTGCCGTTGAATCCCGTCGTGCCGCTCTCGATGAGAGGTACGTCCGCAGCCAAGCACATCCTGTTGACGTGCCGTCTGGCCTCTAGGTTATCCAGCGCATTGAAGACAATGTGGAAGTCGCGGAACCACTTGACGTTAAATTGGGCGTCCTTGATGTTGGAATGATGCGCGACGATCTTAACCTTGGGGTTGAAGGGCTGCGCAGCATCCTTGGCCACCTTTTTGTAAGTCAGTATTGCAATACTCTCCACACCTATATCACTGCTTCTGGTACCATACCAATGCCTTGGACTTCTTGATGTGCTCGTGTCGGAAGAGAAATTGTCGGTTGAGGTTGCTCAAATCGATGGTGTCGAGGTCGACGACGTGAATTTCACCGAAACCCGTAAGCACGATGTTCTTGAGTAGTTCGCATCCGATACCGCCAGCTCCAACCATGAGAACGCGCGCCTGCGTGTTGTAAGTTAGCTCCATTGACTCTTCAATTGCATTGTAACCCATCATCGGGAGGAAACTGGCTGCTTTTGGAATAGGTAAGGGGGACGACGTTGGATGAAAGCCGCGATGCTAGGTAGGTCGCGTGGTCTGATGCGCCGGGGCTCTCTGACGAGGGTTGCGACGTACCTTCTTCACATTGGCGTTCAATGAGCCGCCGAGCGATTGCTGGAAGAATCGATCACGCGTCTGCACGGTGGGAGGTCGCTGCTGCTGCTGCTGCGGCGGCGGCGGCTTTTGTTGCTGTTGCTGCTGCGTCGTTTGCGCGGGTGGTTGAGCGACGGGGATGGCTTCCGTTTGTGCTGGTTGCTGCTGCTGTTGTTGTGGTGCTGATGCTGGTGTAGGCGCCGTCGCGGCGGCGGGCACTGTCGCCTCTGCCGCGGTTGCTGCAGGTGCAGCTCCTGCTTCCGCGGTGGAATCCATTGGGGCTTTCGTTCGATCGCAGTGTTGTTGAGATGTCCGTTCTACGTGCGTCGACGTGTCAATGGGTTGGAAAGGGAAAAGATGGGTGCGATCGCGTGGTTTTGGGAAGAGGAAGTTGAGGGTGGAAATAAGCCGCGCCAGGTGGGATGGAACGACGGCGGCGGGTGGTTTCAGCACGGGAGCGAGGCTGCGAAGAGGAAGGTTCCAAGGTTGAGGTTTTCCCTGAGGTCAGCGGAAGGAGCGATCGCCTAGCACAAGGTTCCAGCCAATACCGGCAGCCGGTGACGAGATCCCAGCAGGGATTGGAGCTGTTGGTTCCTGGGGAACTTCCGCGCTCGAGTCCTGATTGGCAGATAAAGGCGGGTTTCTCTCGCTTGCCAGTGGAAGCTTGCTGGAGCACGCTGTAACCTCAGCGGTCTAATGCACCCTACAGTCACCGTGAAACACTCGACGCCTGCTCATAGTCCGGTACCTTACCTAAAGTACCTCACCTTTCCATTACCTCTGGAACCTTGGAAAGTAGGTAAGGTACCTTAACTGCTTACACCGTACCTATGTAGGTACCTTACCAAATACAGGCCGACCTCGCTTGCCCAGCGAAGGTTCGTTGGGCCTCCACCGGTTCCTCGAGTCCTCTCTACTGCGTATCCGTGGTAGGGCCGCTTCTCATCCCCTTTCACGTGGAAAGCAGCCGCTTGAAAGCTCACCTCAGAAACGGGGTTCACAGGTATCCTTGAAGTGACGAGATCGTAGGTCACTCACTCGGAGGGGTCCTCTGGGATTATCGCCGCTTGTGATCCCGCCTTTTGATCCAACAAAAAACAACCGGGTCGGTGCGATATGGGTCTCTTCTTTACCGCCTAGTTCAAAGCCTTAGTCCTGCGATTCTTGCCCTCATCGTCGCCCAAGCTCTGTGAAAGATCCTACTGCATTGCCGCCGGCTAGAAGCATCTGAAAGGTGCAGTCAAGCCCAGTTCTAGGGTCGTATTCCTGCGGCTCTCTCCAAGCAGATAATACCGCCTGCAAGCATCTCACCGCGGGGCACTACACACTAACCGAATCATGTCCGACGACGAGCCCGACCTCGAACTCCTGGCCCTCCTCCGCCAGCGGTTCCAGGGGAAGCTCAACATCGACGATGAGCCCGAGACGGGCGTCCTCGACGGCGCCGAGTTCGTCTATGACAACTCCATCGACGTCGCCATCGATATGAGGGCCACAAAGAGGGCCGCCGCCACCATCTATGCCCAGATGGAACAAAAGAAGTACTCAACCTCCACCTGGGCAGAGCACGAGCTGCACCCAAAGACTAAAGACGAGAGCACCGCCGCCTTCATCTTCACCATGGACCTGCTCAACTTCTGCTTCTGGTCAGAGAAGCCCGAGGACGAGAGGTACGCCGTCGAGTATCGCGGCAAGACCTGGACGGGCTACTGGAGCATGGTCGCCTCGCTGCAGCGCGCCCTCGAGGAAGGCATCCCCATCACCAGCTCCGATTTTTGGCAGAGCGAGGACGAATGCAACTTGGAGGTTCTCAGACACGTCTTCCGCTCCAAGACGGAGGAGGAGATGCCCCTTCTTGAGGAGCGCTTGGCGTGCTTGCGGGAAGCCGGCACTGTCTTGTATGAGAGGTACAGTTGCAGCGTGACGAAACTGGTCGAGGCCGCCAACGGGTCGGCCGCACGGCTTGTGAACTTGCTCGCCCGCGATTTTGACTGTTTCCGCGATGAGCACAAGTTCGACGGCCGTCGGAAGCCGGTGAGAATCCTCAAGAGAGCGCAGATCCTCGTGGCCGACATTTGGGCATGCTTTGGCGGTGAGGGCATTGGTGCCTTTAAGGATATCGACAAGATCACCATGTTCGCCGACTACCGGGTCCCGCAGATTCTCAGCACCATGGGTTGTTTGTATTATAGCCCTTCGCTGGCGACGGCTATCACTGATAAGCGGGTTATTGAGAGCGGGTCGAGGTTGGAGTTGCAATTGAGAGGTGAGCCTTTGCAACTACTATGTCACTTCTCCAAGCGTCTTGCTAACTATGAGAACAGCGTGCAGTATTTGGTGCGTTGAGCTCATCAAACGGGAGATCCAGAGGGACCACCCTGGGACGAGCGTCAATGCCATTTTGATCGATTTCTTTTTGTATGATACCATGAAGGAGCTGGAGGCCGCTGGCACGGAGACGATAGGACATCACAGAACGCGGAGTATCTGGTACTGAGGTAGAGAGCAGCTTGATCAAGATATGGCCATGATGGGGAGACGAGAGACCTTCAGCACCTCTGATAAGGGGTATAATTCATGTTCGCTGCTGTCCAGCATAGAACATTTCGTGTGATAAATTACAGCAAAACCCTCGTGTCGCATATGCCTCGTGTTCCACTCCGCAAAAAACCGAACCGTTAAAGCCATCGAACCGCTAGCAACTCCAAACTCCGTCTGCTTATTCACACATGGTTTTCGCGGGAAGGAGGCACCTCGACGGTCACCCGGTCAGCCATCCGTGCCTTCCCCCCTTGGTCGCCCCCCAAAGGTCCACGAATACACAACCAAACTTTCATCCGATGCCATTCCGCCACAATCAGAGCCTTCATATACCCCCTCAATCCCATTCCTGTCACCAGCACAGCAGGCGCCCCCTAGGTCGGGGGTCAGGTCAAACTGTGGCGTGGGTGGTGGAATGGTTAATGGTCAACAATCAAATCGCCAACCAGCCTACGCGACGACAGGCTCAGCGCATACGAGTACCGAGTTCGAATCCCAGCATGAGCACCAAGAGATGTAGCCCCCAATTCAGTACCGGGGGGGTGAACTCTTTTGACCTTTTTGACCTTTGTAGATGTTTGCTGAGATCCTCCACAATTACGAGGCTCCGACCGCTGTCGAGTTCATAAGCTCGTCTAAGTGAGCCCGGTCCGAAGCGTGGCCCTTTTCCTCTTGCTTTAGAAGTACCGCAAGGACCTCGATTGGCGGGTTGAGACCTAGCCTCTCCGCGCGCTGCCACCGCTTCATGCGCTGGAGGCCGATGCAGGGCTGCAAGTCATATCAGTATCTCCAGCCAGAAAGCAATTGTGGTCGGGATAACTTACACCATATTGAGAGCTAACGTCAAAGTATCGCAAAACCCTCTCAGCCAGACTCACATCACCTTGGTGCACCCTAGGCGCAATGCGCTGAGCCTCGATCGACTTCCAGTACTTGTTGATCTGGGCGTCGCTGATCTTCTCGGCCCTCACTTCGGCCTCTGACTTTTCGGGGACTTCTTCCTTGGCTTCAACCTTCTCAACCTCGGGCGTCAAGGGTTCTTCGATCTGGATCTCGTCGACATCCTTGTGCTGCTTATTGCTTGGCTTGGCGATATCGGATCGGTCAATGGCAGAGGAAAGAGCCACTGTTTTCTTGGTGTCCTTGGGCACCGGCTTCGATACTCTGTTGGAGAAGCTGATGGTCGATTGGCCTCGCGCTGGGCCAGGTCTGGCGCGGCCTCCTCCTGTTGATCTCCTGGTGGTTGGCATTGTGTGAATCGTCGCAAGTACGTGGGCTGGCAGGGGTCTAAATGGGTGGGTGTGAGAACGTCAAGTTTGAGTGACCGATTTACGGAAAATGGAGGTATTGATAACGTCAATCTGATGAATCTGAAATATCACTGATCGAAGGTGAATGCTTCAGATAATGTCACCAATGGGTGTTGTCGCAATGTCATCTGTGAACCAGCGCTGGGATGTAATGAATGACGAAAGAGGTAGGAAGGTGGCAGGGGCTTTAATTTGGCGGGACAACGCGAGGTAGGAGCCAAACCACGTGATTCACTGTGCCTAATGAGCGGTACGCACCATTACTGACACTGTCCTCATCATCGTCGTGATTGTTCGTTGTTCATTTCGACATGTCTCTATCGTCTGTCTTCGGATATGCCACAGGAAGTTTCATATTCCAGGGTTCTTTGGATGCACGCCGACTCTTCCTTGACTTTTTGGTTCCCCTACTCCTTTATGCACCAGTAGCTTCCCTATAGAATGAAATGCTCCTGTTGGCGCCCGCCGTACAGAAAGACTCGTTCTTTCCAGTCTTCGGGAGCCACTTGACAGCCCACAAAGCCTTGTCTGTCTCGCTATGCGTCGCGACACAGGCGCTACGCTCCACTGACCAGACCTTGACCTTTCCGTCCATCGCTCCGCTAAGCAAGTATTCACCCGTGTCGTTCCAGTCAACAGATGTGATCCATGAGGAGTGGCCAGTCATGTTGCTGACTTGCTCGCCATTCTTGATGTCGTAGAGAGCAATAACGGATGAGTCGCCAGCAGCAGCGAGTCTGGTGTTTCCAGGGGAGAATGAGACAGAGCGGACAGATTTGACCAGGCCTGGGGAGATTTCTTTAGCAAACAATCATTACGAGTAAAACGTTAGGTGGGGGTATTACCTGGTAGTGAGAACAACAACTTTCCGTTGTCATTGTTGAAGACGTAGACAGCTCCGTTCTGGTGGCCACTGGCAGTGTATCGCCCATCACGGCTCAAGTCGACTGACATACCAAAGCTTCCCTGGCCAGGGCTTCCCGTCTCGTACTCTCTAATCTTGGGCGTGCCCTCTTCTCCAACGTCCCACACATTCACCCGGCCGTCGTAGGTCGTACCCGCCAGGAATTTTCCATCCTCGCTAAGCGCAATGGCCCAGACCTCGCCGGCCTTGGCCGCCTTGTTCGTGATCTCCGAGTGAAGCTTCCACTCGCTCGTGTCCTTGTTGATGGCCCAGATCTTCACCTCGCCGGCGAAGCCTGCACTCGCGGCGACCAGACCATTGCGGGAGGTGCAGATGTGGTGGCAGCCCAGCTTGTGTGCACCGCTGATGGATTGCGTGATGGGGATCGTGGGGTCGGCTGTGTCGTGGATGTGGAGGGTTGATGAGCCGCTTGCAGATAAGACGGCCCTTGAGGTAGTGGCCAAACTGAAGATATCGGTTATGTGGGCTAACGTTGCTGCATGTTAGCAAGATGAAGCTCTAGAGACGATGGTTCGGAGGTTCTCAAGCTCTAGCTGATAGGTAGCTCACCATTATCCACAGTGTGTGTGGTCAAATATTGTTTCGACTGGCAGAATTAGCTTCCTTTTCGTACACGAACAGCCAATTGAGGTCGTACCATGATTCCCAGCCCATGCGAAGCTCGTACCGCTGTAGTTGATGCGCGGTTGTGAGTAGGAAGGTGATGGACGCGATGTGGTCGGGAAGGTGGGGGCTGACATCACACATTTGCGAGAAAAGACCCCTGCAAAGAGCAGCTGGGGCGCGGCAGGAGGGGCAATGGAGGGGCACCAGCAAGTACCCTTGCTCAGTTTACCTCAGCACCCCGACTTTATTCAACCTCATTCTTTTTCATCTTCTAAACATGTATCTCGGGGAACACTTATGAAGAGTAGTTTCCTTCCATTTAATTCTATGATGACAGTACTACTCGCAGAGAGATTAACTTGCCTTCAAGAAACAATACTGCCCGCTTACATGGCTCCTCTTTCTACCTCAGCCTTCGATGGCCTTTTGTATAAGTCAAAACGCCCTTGAATTCTTTGTACAAATCACAAGGGTTTCTAGCAGTCGCTTCTCAAAGCTACAATTTCCAGCTCTCAAACTTACCGGGTTACTCCATGAGCTCAACTTACCTCGTCGAAGAAATCGCTCCCTGCTCACGGAAGAACTCAACCATTGTAACGTTCTGACAGTAAAGAGCCAACTCATACGGCGTCAAGCCACCGATGTAGGGCTCGCCAGACTCCTTCGCTCCGCCCAAGGTCGTTCTGGCCCGCAAGTCAGCCCCTGCTTTGATCAGCTCCTTTGCAGTAGGTATCATGGCCAGGTCCTGCTTCTGCTGAGACAGTCGTCGAGGGTCCTCCGGATCAGGATGCCATCTCCGCGCGTAGCACGCCATGTGGAGAGGCGTCCATCCCCGAGGGCCGAGGGCATTGGCGTCTGCGCCTTTCTTGAGAAGGAGCTCGACGGTCACGCTCGCTCGTACGCCCCATCTACATACGACATGCAGCGGCGTAATCCCGTTGGCGTCTGTGGTGTTTGGGTCGGCGCCGTGAGAGAGCAACCACTTGATTGCTTGATGTCGCCGGGTGACGTCGCCATACGCCGCCGCGAGCAAGGGTGTGCCGAAGTTGTACGTCTCTGACCTTTGCAGTATGGGGAAGTTGCTTCCAAAAGTGCTTTCTACGCGTCCATAGTTCATCATGTCTATTGGGGTTCCGGTCTTCTCAAAGGCGTAGTTGACTGATGCGCCGGCCTCGACGGCCGCTTCCAACGCAAGGAGGTTGCCGTTGAAGCTGGCCCATCGAAGAGCATACCAGTCATCCTTTTGTCCACTTCGCTGGTAAAGCACACACCTCAACGTTTGATACAGTGACCTACATGTGATGGCCAAATTTTTGAGGTCGGTAATGCCTTCAAGAACGTTCGATGGCGTTGGCTTATTGGGGTCTTCGTAAAAATAGTCATCCACTATCTTCAGGTCATCGGAGTCGGAGTCGGCCTCGGCTTCGACAGCACCGTGAAGTCTTAGATGTTTTGCTGGCTTTGGCTTCGGTCGTGGGCCAATGGCTTTCACGATCTGCAGGACAAGCTCCGTTGGGATAGGAATGCCTGCCAAACCGGTGGTCTTGGAGTCGTCTCGAGGCGGCTGAGGTGATATCATTTCGGCAACTTGATTCAGTCCCAAAGTCGTAATTACTAGGTGTCTTTGCCGTTCTATCCACGTCTATGCGACCTCTGTTGGTTGCATCAGATAGGCGTGTTTGTGTCTACTTGCAAGTTGTGGTTGACTTTAGAAGAGTCAGTCCTTGTATTATGTAGTTTGGTATTCCGATGCACAGACAGTTCGCACTCTTGTCTGCAGATTGACTTCTCAAAACATATCTATGACCATATCTTTGCTCGCCGTAGTTGATCATGATTTATCAGAGTGCACGGCTTCATTGTCGCTTTGCTTTGGTTCTTATTGTTCCAAGTACCACGTGTTATTCACACAGAACAATGGAGGACTTGCCCCAGTGTCATAAAACTGGGACTCCATCTTTGTCTAAGGTTACAACCCCTACTTCCGTTGAACATGTCTTTGTTGATCCTATTAGCCAACCAGTACCCGATGGTTGGTTCTTGGAGCTGGATTGTTAAGGAGGGGAGGCTAGAAAGAAAAAGAGGCCTGGCGGCAAGACTAAAGTCAATACATCAGAGTCGTGGCGGAACAGATGTAAAAGTTCGCTTAGGAAGTAATCCTCTGTAGGCGCCAAACTTTGGGAGATCAAGTAGCATCATCAAATGAGTGCAGCAGACAATGAAACTCAGCGTAACCTGTGTCTATCACCGAAGTTGATGTCGATGGCCCCATCTCAGCGGGCCCGGCCATCGAAACCGCGTGGATCCAGTTTTTCCGTGTTGTAACCGAGTTCTGCTTTTGGTATTCAAAAGCCGTGCCCGCTCGAGACATTCTTCTACATCGACCTTGGTCTACAGACGAGATGTACGTTCATAGGGATGTTGTTTTGCCAATATTTTCCACAATTGTCGGAGTTCCGACTGTTTGTACCCGAGTCCATCATGAGATGTCGATCAAGTGATGTTTGCCGTGTACCTAGTGATAGGCTCCTTCAAACGCCTGCTTTTTGCCCACGTTCCCGGCGGCATGTAGATAAACCTGAGCTTGCCACATTGAAATTCATTGTAAAGGTGCGCTGATGAACACATTCGCAACCTCCAGACGAAGTTCGAGGACCTTTATTCGCCACTTGATGATCAGCCCACAATTTCAAGCCACTCGGGGCGGATGTAGAGGCGAGCCTTGCTTCAAAGCTTCAGCGGCATTTTACTCTATTTCATGACCAGTAAACACCGGTCTGATGACAGCTGGGCACGCCGGAAGAAGGTGATGGATTGTCCCAAACGCCAAAGTATGCTAACCAATTGTACACTTGAATATACACGTCTCGAAATGTTACACAGCCATTGGGCGATTTAAACGAACTTTCCTGAGGGGTTCTCCTCTTTCCACATATCCTTGATCTCTGCACAATGGTTGTTAGTTTGACGTGTACGAAGAACGGTTCTTGCAAGGGAGACGTACTGCTCAGGCAGTGTGGGCATACCACGTGCTGCCTCTTGATCTGGCCGCAGCCTGGGCACTTGCACAGAGACTTGACATCCTGCAACGCCTTGCCTGCCATCTGCCTGTGTCTCTTCTTCGAGTGAGAGGTCTTCTTCTTGGGTACCGCTCGCAGGATGGACTCCCAGATGCCGCCGAGCCAGGCGGGGATGTTGAGGTTGAAAGCCGGGAGCGCGAAGGAGAGCGCCGGGAGGAACGAGTTGGTGACTTGGCGTGTGTAGAGGGAGAGGATTCTTGGTGACTGAGCGAAGGCTGGCGCGGAGATGCGGGGGAAGAGGGAGGTCATGCGCAAAGGCTGCGCGCCCATGGCGATGGCTGCCATTTTTTGGGATGGTGATCGATCGTTTCGAGCTCTAATGGAGGGGTTGTCGGGAAGTCAGGGACTGCCAAAAGTAGAACCGGGGTTCTTTGTAGACGACGATATTGATTCGGGCCGAGATTTGTTTTGCTGCCGGGTATCGAGGGTTCGTGGCTGCGTAGATGTTCTGTCGTGAAAATGTGTATCCACGTTGAAGCTGCTGCTACACCACTGTCGTGCACATCGCGAGGCTCAAGCTTGTTCCATTCCGAGCCGGAAAAAAAAAACGGCTTGCGACCGGGGAGCTGTCAATTGAGATCTGCCAGCCAATCACAGCTTTGAAGGTGCACAGACCGCCATCAGCCAATCAAGGTGATGGAGACCCCTTTTCCCCTTTCCCTCCCACACCCCCTGCACCTACCTCCCTGCAGGGAAATTATTTGTTTGCTGGAGTGGAAGGAGCAACCTATTAGCTGCAGCCAACGGCGACAGCCAGTGCCTGGCAGACAGGACACGGGGGGCACTGGGGGGGGTGGACGGGGACGGGTAGCAAGCAAGTGCCAGCGAGAGAGGAAATTACCCTTGGTTGGGCCAAATCATTTGGTTGACTTTCCCACCTGGGCTCATTCTCATTCACCGGCTTCTGTCCTTCAGAAACATCCGCCAACCTCGTGATCCTCTTTTTCCTCTCTCCCTGCCCATCGCCTTCTCCAACTCCGTCTCTCCTCCCCCTTGACGAGGCCGCGATTTCGGGTTCGAGTACTAGATACCCTTCTTGGAACACAGAAACGTATCTCAACTTCACTCCTTAAAAGCACACACTCACGCGCACCGTTCACTCTCGCTCCCTTGCGGAAAAGCTATCACAATGGCGCAGCCTCAAACCATCTTCCCCCAGACCCATGTCGGTTTCGACAGCATCACGTCCCAGATTGAGAAGAAGCTCCTGAAGAGAGGCTTCCAGTTCAACGTCATCTGTGTCGGTAAGTTATTCCCCGCAACCCCAGATCACAATCACTGGCCTAGCAAGCTGGATTGTCCCCCTATGTCGCGTCGGCAATCGACTAATCGCATCTCGTGTTTCCATGATATAGGCCAGACTGGTCTGGGCAAGTCCACCCTGATCAACACCATCTTCGCCTCCCACCTCATCGACTCCAAGGGTCGTTTGATGCCCGATGAGCCCGTCCGCTCTACCACCGAGATCCAGGCCGTCTCCCACATGATCGAGGAGAATGGCGTCCGTCTGCGCCTCAACATCGTCGACACCCCCGGATACGGCGACCTGGTCAACAACGACCGCTGCTGGGATCCCATCGTCAAGTACATCAAGGACCAACACTCCGCTTACTTGCGAAAGGAGCTCACCGCTCAGCGAGAGCGTTACATCCAAGACACCCGCATCCACGCCTGCCTCTTCTTCATTCAACCCTCGGGCCACTCCCTGAAGCCCATCGACATTGTCGTCCTGAAGAAGCTGTCCGATGTCGTCAACGTCGTCCCCGTTATTGCCAAGTCCGACACCCTGACTCTTGAGGAGCGCCAGGAGTTCAAGGAGCGTATCAAGGAGGAGTTCGCTTTCCACAACCTCAAGATGTACCCGTACGACAACGACGAGTTTGACGACGAGGAGCGCAGCTTGAACACCCAGATCAAGGTCAGTCATGCCATTTGGCTCGCGCACATTCCAATTGCTAATAGACCCCACAGGATCTCGTTCCCTTCGCCGTCGTCGGCTCCGAAAAGTCCATCATTGTCAACGGCAAGCAGGTTCGCGGTCGCCAGAACCGGTGGGGTGTCATCAACGTTGAGGACGAGAACCACTGCGAATTCGTCTACCTGAGAAACTTCCTTCTCCGCACCCATCTCCAGGATCTCATCGAGACCACCTCGCAGATTCACTACGAGACTTTCCGTGCCAAGCAATTGCTTGCGCTCAAGGAGAGCAGCGCGCACGGTGGCGGTAGCAGACCCATCAGCCCTGCTGCTGACCGTGAGCTCAGCCGAAACTCTCAACGAATGACCTTGAACGGATACTAGTTTACGGATATCCCACCCCCACCTACTCGAGGCGCCTGACGGCCATGATATTCTTGGGCAGCTGGGCTTCTGACGACTTTCAATCTCATGGTGTTATGCGCAGACCAACAAAAAGAACAGGCACGGTACCGCCTCGACAGCATGCGGATGCTGCATCGACCAGTAATGCTGAGGGGAGGTAGCAACCGCTACGTCCATGGTACAACTTGGCGGAAGTGATTTCGAATGGGAGGCTCGAATATGCTTGCGTGGCGCACGGATATAGGCCCATACCCCCTTCTCTAGACTTCATGGTCGTTGTTTAAGTACTCGTGCTGGCGAAAATAGTCCAATATTCCCCCTTTCCGCCTCATCAGCTGGACGCACTTCTACTGTTTTCTTATTTCGGCTTTTTTAAAGCAGCATTTCAAGCTCGGCTTCACTTGTACCCCCATTTTCTTCTTACACTTTAATCCATTCGTACTCTGATAGAGAGTTCGTTTCGATACCTCGTGGAATACAACCGACATGGCTTATGACTTGCGGGCTTGGATGTTTCTTGTGATGTGTATTCCTCTGTCCTGAGTACGGCAATAAATAGCCAGAGGTTTCTGCCACGTGTAGATGTGGCTCTATGGATTGCTTTTATACGCTCTCATGTGTGTATATATGCTCACAATGACCGCCCGTGCTATGAAGAAGATCCACAGACCATTTGTGAACTCTTAAAGGATATTCAGTTTCCAACGCCCCGTCACCATGCCATCCGATCCGAACCTCCCTCTCGCTCTCTATCTCTCTTATCCGCCCTCGTTGTCACGGTCTCTCTACTGAGAAGGGTTGTAGACAAAGTCCTCGAGAGTCTTGTAGGCCTTCTCGAGGTCGTCGTTGACAATAACCAGATCGTGAACGCCGGGTGTTTTGGAGTAGGCCAGCTCGAGCTTGGCTTGCGCGAGACGCTTCTGGATGCTCTCTTCCTTCTCGGTGCCGCGGCCGCGGAGGCGCTTCTCGAGCTCTTCTTCTGAGGGGGGCGCGATGAAGACGTAGCGGGCGGGGAAGTTTGACGTCTTGATTTGCTTGACTCCCTAGATGTTTGAACCCCACGGTCAGTATTGGAAATTCCTGGTTGGAGGGGAAAGAGGTGTGTGTAAAGCAAAAACGTACCTCCATCTCGATGTCGAGAACGACAAGCTTGCCCTTGGCGGACTGCTCCTCAATGGTGGCCTTTGAGGTGCCGTACGAGTTGCTGCCAAAGGTCGCGTGCTCGACGAAGCCGTCCTTGCTGACGAGGTCGTCAAAGGCGTCCTTTGTGACAAAGTGGTAGTCGACGCCGTCCGCCTCGCCGGGTCGCGGGCCGCGGGTGGTGTGGGAGACGGAGAGGGCGAAGGAGTCTGGGTGGCGCTCGAAGAGGAGCTTGTAGAGGGTGCCCTTGCCGACGCCCGAGGGGCCGGAGATGACGATTGGTCTGCGGTCGGAGGGGAGGACTGTCATTTTTGCATGAGTTAGTCTTGTGTGAAGTTTATGCCTTCTTTTGTTCCCTCTTTCCTCCTGGGGAGAGAATGTGTCTTGCACCGGCTTGCGAGAGGGAGAGAAGTGGGAGGGGCAGAGGTGAATTGGGCCGTGATTCAGAGGTTTGGGTGAGGAAGTGACGATATATGGAAGGATAGTGGTGAAGCTTACCTGGCGCCATTGTGCTTGCGAAACGAAACGGTTGACTTTTGGGTATGAATCTTGTCAGTGGAGGTTGTCGTGAGAAGGCCTGGGTGAATGGTCGGAGGCGGGGCAACATTAGATGGAGTATCGGTCAAGGAAGGCTCCAAGGGAGAAGCAAGGACTGCGCTCGCTAGCCTCGGAAGTTTCAGTAGGTCTACGGGCACGGCGGCGGTGGTCGGCAAGGGGGCAGAGGAGGGGCAGACTGGATGAGAGCGGGTTAGGACGGGCGGTCTGGACAGTCACAAGCCTCAGAGGCGGGAGAGGTGGAGGAAGGGGGTTGACGGGACTGGACCGGACACAGACAGGCACGGCGGGAGTTGGGGGACGCGGTGACACTCGCTGTACGCAGTACCTACACTGAGGTGAGGTGGTAACTGCGCGGCAGGGTAAGGTATCCAATGGTGGTGGGGGGGAAGCTCCTGCCGGCAGAATTGGGGGTGGCATATGCCGCTGAAGAGTCAACGTTGGGCGCCCCATGAGTCAGCGGGGCGGTGTGTTGGTGCCCGTTGGGGGCATGGCGGCAGGGTTTACTTTGTCTCTGATTTGCTCCCTTGCATTTGGTCGTTGCTTTTGCCCTGCCGAAGTAGCGGTGTCAACACTGCTTTTCAGAAGCTCGAGCCTTACCTTGAATGAATTGCATAAGCTGAGCAGCTTCTATAGTTTCTCTACTTACTTTCAATGGACTTTCAGCGCTTAGTTGACGCTGAATTCAGTGTGAGGGTATGATCAAGTTATGGTCTTGACTAAGTACCTATGTAAGGTAGGCTTGACTACATATGTGATTTCCCTTCAACTTCTAAGCATGGCTGTATATCATCAGTGAGATGATACGTTTCCTACCTTATTCATTAAGTCAAATCTCGCAAACTCATTGATAATTCATCCTGACTCATGCTGTTCTTGGCATCTTTCATGTCACAGCCAGGATAACTGGGTTAGGACTCAACTCATAGAAACGGTGGTAGAAGGGTCGTAAATCCAGGCTCAGCTTACAACGTAGAAAGAATACGAAACAAATACCTGGACTCAATGAGAACACGACTTTCCACGACCTTTGATCAGCAAGTACAACATCAAGCCGTTGACGGTGTTAGGAATCTCGAAGAGAACACGTACTTCATGTATCCTCAATTGACTGACGCAGCATTTATTATTGATGTTCAGGCAAAATACAATCAGTCAAGTTGCTAATTCTACTGGGTATCGTTACCATTCCATGATGCTCTCCCAGTGTCGTTCCCAAGTAGTAACCTGATTCACCAGACCCAAATGCCCATGTGTATTGGAAGCAGGTCAGATCCAAAGTCTCACATACTATGTGAAGTCTTTCAAAGAGTTCATCCAGATCTAGCTCGGAAACTCCGGGGGAATGTAGTAAGCGTTGAAAACCTCTATCGTCGCACTCCCTTCTCCAAAGGGGGGAGACGAGAAACTACCTACCAGGACACTGTCTCTTCGATCTGCCGCCTTCTGAGACCACAAGACGATGTGAACTAAATCAGAACACCTCGTGTCAACTATTCAAGGATTTTTTTGTTTCAGCTTGATGCCGGTCGTGAAAGGAATATCATTGTTCCTGTCGGCCTCTATCGGTGATCGCTACATTGCTGCTTCACAACGTATCTCAATGAAAAGGCGACTTCGATGGCGCGAAATCGTTTACCGATGGACCTACATTGGAACCGCAAATGGATCTTTCGTGGAACACATGATCCATCAGAGGAGAAGTCTCACTGTGCTGTCGCCTCCTCGCAATCTCCGTCATGTCTACCTTTTGAGAAGACGCGATCGGCGCCTTCGTCACCCTTGAATCACGATTTGAAAAGTCATACATAGCTCAAAGGGATGATACTACACAGGAAACAGATCGTTTGTCTGTGTAGATCTCAGAATGACAAGGTCGAAATATGGAAAGGAGTCAGAGGACTACACACTGTCGAACAGGTAGGCTGGAGATTCCCCTGGAAATAGACTACGGGCTATACAGGAGATATGTAAACTATCACACTGTTGTGGATCTTACTACTTATCACAAAAAGTCGTTCGGTCCTTGTTAGAGTGCCTTAATAAGTGATTGAATTCTTCCAGTACGAAGATGATTCTCGAAAGCGAAAAGACAACAATGTTTTGCGTCAGCTCTCTAGCCCTCGTTTCTGATGTATGCCACCTGCTGTCTGATTAATCTATGATGGAACCCTACGTCAGTGTCTCTGTTTGATCGATGGGAACGACTCGGGAAACGGCAACGGGATCGTCACCTACATCCTTCCATCTTCCGATTTAGCCGACTGGCATACTCCGTATATACACTGCAAGTATCTCCCAGCCACAAGTAGGAAATAGTTATTATAGCTGAAGACTCAACCTGTCTTCGTCACGATAAGCCACGTAATCCAAAAGTGTCCCAGTTCTTGCCAGCAAATTACAATCAACCTGAAAACGTATGAAATAGCAATCGAGGGCATTCAGAGCGTGGCGCAGCCGCTGTGAGCACGGGAACGATCCCGTCCAATCCGACCCCGCATGATGGATGGGGCCAGACTCCTTTCACATGTTTCTTCGTTGATCTGGATGGCGGCTGTTGATCTCTCAGGCTTTGGAAGTGCCGCACAATTGTGGTGGTTGGTGTTGATGTTGCCGGCGAAATGGCAAGAATGTCGAGTTTGTGGATACGGCACTGGCCTGGAGCCCCGAGACTTGCATATCTTGTGATGGCGAAGCCTCTGAAGAGCTTCAATGAACTCGAGAATGCAACATCGGTGGTGAGAGGGTGCTTAAAATAGAAACACAGATCAAGATGGCAGCTAGGCTTAGCCAACGGTGAGGCTTTGATTGCCGGCCCACGGCATTCTGGAGTACCCTGGGCCATCTGCCCGGCCACCAAATCCGGGGTCGACGCCACGTAGCCTGCATTGGAACGCAAAAGGCTCGGTTGAAGATGCCGGATAGTCCAGGCAAGAATGTAGTGGCGATGCCACAAACGGTCAGTGTTGGTCGGGAAGGTCGGCCGTCGGAGCCGATCACGGCACGGAACCAAGGTGCCGGGCGGGGGCCGTGTCTACCGGTCGGTTGCTTCCCGTGCCCCCGCCCCCCTTGGTTAGTGAGTGAAATATTCCTCCCCCCGCCAAGAGTCAAATAAGATGGGGGCCGTTTGGTGAGTGAGGTAATAATTTGCATGTGGGGGCCCAGCAGGGGGATGCGAGTCTATCACAATCAAGCACTTGTGCCGGACAGGACCCATTCACCCGGCCGAAATACGATGTGCTGGGCCGCTGGCAAGTGCAATCTTTTTGAACCCCATCGTAAAGAGCCAGTCACGGGGACAGCAGTAATGGGGCATCAAAAGTGGTTGACTTCTGGCGGAGTACCACTTGCGAGAGAATTTCCTTTCGTGTTCAACGGGCCCAGCGGCTCCACGGCACGCGGGACACCCGCGTTTTCCATGCCATGCCGTGATATGCGATGCACCGCAGCCGCCGTAGTCTCGTGCCTTGCAGCTGGTAGGGCGCTACTAACGACACTAGTCGATGGGGGCAGAAGGGAGGCAAACGAACGGGGTGATTTTTGTTCCTGGATCTCGTATGGTAGCACGAACTTTCGGCGCAGAACAACTGCTAAGGGACGGTGGCTTGTGAAAGACCAGCGCTGAGAAAACATTTTGCGCAGCGACAAGGCTTCGTCATCTCCACCAACACAGCCTAGAAAATCAGCCGCAAGAAACCTAAGCCCAAAATTCCAATTGGCGGTTGGACTAGTCGCCAGCTAGGCCAGCCAGATCGGGAGGTTGTCGGGTTCACGTGGTTGGTAGTGCGTGGAACAAAGAACCAAGTTGGGTACTGACCAAAGGCAAAATCGTCTCAAAACAACCGTCTCTGGGTTCCCGAGTGTCTTCTTTGGGGAAGAGAGTTACAGAGACAGCGGTTTGCCCGAGCGCTGAGGCGGTTTTGGCTCGCAACAAAGGCAGATGTACCAGGCGGACCCTGGAAAAGTAGCTTAGAGATGACACCATGCTGAGGTGAAAACATCGGATATGTTCAGTGGTGGAAGGGGAGAAGAATGCGAAAGTTCAGAATTGGCCGTGGTTCGTTCTGTCAATCAATCCACTTCGCCCGTTCCCCGTGTCTCAGAGTCTCCTGTTGGCTAGTTGGGGCGCATTATCCTAGGAAAGCTTGAACGAGCATGTCTCACACGGTTTCGAAGGGGACCGTCTCTTCCGGAAGATGTCTTTCTGAGTGGTGACGTTGAAAGCAGACTCGGACCTGTCACTGTAAACAACATCAGCTTACATGACCAGCAAATATTATTGAAAGACGGTGCCTCTCGGGCGCATGTCGTCTGTTCGTAAGAGGAAGGCCCAAGAGATGGAGCCCTGCAGCATGGGAATGGACCCCAGCGGCCCTGCAGATAAACGAGCCCGAGGACCAACAAGGAGATTAGTTTAGGCTGGGAAAGTAATGAGAAGCCAAGCTTTAGCATATGCAGAGAGGAGAAAGTGGGCGACTAGTCAGCGCCCCTCGCTCTCGTCCACTGATTTGCTCGTTGAGTTGTTGCGAATTGCCCATGTCTGTTCAGTCTACGCCCGGATCAGCGAGTTGTCCGGGCCATCCCATGTTCTCTTCTTTCTTTCGCTTCTTTCGCGTTTGGGACTTTTGACTGTGGAGAGAGGGGTGGTCTCTGACGCTTCCCAGTCCTGTAGGTGTGTGAGAGAAGGGCCTTGCTTCAGGAATTGTGATGCCGAGAGGCTGTGTGTGTGTGTGTGTGTGTGTGTGTGTGTGTGTGTGACCTCGCGAGTAGAGAGTTTGTATGGCGGGTGTGGCTGGACGACAACAAACGGAAAGAAAGGCAATTAGTAAAGCAGACTCTACAACGTAGGCAAAGTCGCGAGCTAATGACGGCGATCTGGCGAAAAGTACTCCGTATGGTTGTAAAGATAGGACCGTTGGTCTGGAAAAGTCGACGACGGGGCGGGGGCTAAGGCCGCCTGCGAGACGGAAACCAATTCGACTTGTTTTTGACTTGCAACAGGGGGGGCGCAGAGGCAAAGGAGCCAATGGATGGGCTGGACAGGTGAGCAGAGATGAGACGGTGATGTGAGAGCAAGCCTCAAGGTCCGAGAGACTTGGAGGGAAGTGCCGGGGACTCGAGATGGGACGGAGAGACATCATTGTCCTTGTGGTTCTTTCCTTTCCTTTGCTTGTGGCGGTACTTAACGGAGTATACTTATTTACCGTTCTTACCGTAAGGTGAACGCTGAGGTAAAGTATCACGGTAAAGGTATGGAATAGAAAAGGTACATCGAGGGTGGGAGAGAAGAAGGTGCAAAGGTGAGGTGGGAGAGATTGTGTGACGCTAGGCCGAGATGAGACAAAAGCAGTGAGCATCGTATCCAGCAGGCGGGAGCCAAGGTGCCTTTTCCATTTTTAATTTACATGTCACGACTTCCCTAAGTTCCCTCGCCGTGTCAAGTTTCGCCGTTGCTCCTCCTTCTTATTACTATTACTTGCCTCCTCTTATTAGCCCAGAGCCTGTCTGTCGCACCTGGTCTCGTTTCTCTTTTCTCTCCACGAATCCGTCTGGAGACCTCTCATTGTTTGCAGTCTGCAACACTCGCTCGACAGAGTCGCGCCTGTATTGTTCGTCTGTGTAAAAGGAAGAAAAGCACCGTACACAAACACACACAGCACCCTCCTCCAACCACTTCACACACACACCTCGTTCCTCTTTTCGTTTCTCGTCACTCTCTCAAACCACATCCACAAATCCACAGAAGAATTGTTTCCTTTTTGGACCCTTTTTAGTGTCTCAATTCTCTTTTTCTTGCCTTGCCTTGGCTCACCACAAATACCCACCTTCATCTTCTCGACGCTCTCTTGGATTTCGTCCCACCTTTTAGACTAAAGGCACGACCAAACGAAGAATAACGACTTCACCAAATACTTCTACGACTACACACGTCTAATACCCGACGCCTACCAGCCCAACACTACTACCTGGAAATAATCCTGCCAGTATTGCAGCCATGCTTGTAAGTCGTAGCTCTTTTTATTCTTTTATCCCTCCTCCACGCCGCTTCCATTGGATCGTTTGGTCCAATCGACCGTTCCGACCGTTGTAGCAATCCATCGCGGGGCGTCGATCAGGGCGCAAGAGACAAGCCAAGTTCCTCTCCTGTTGGTTCATGTGGAGAGGCATCCCCATGAGCCATCATCGAAATCCTGTACATTGGCGACGCCACACTCTGTCGATCCCCCTCCCCCTCATGTTCCTTCTCTGTCCCTTCCCCAAGACATGCTGCAACACCAACATCACCGTGTAACTTTAATCTAATTTGGCGCCAATCTGTAGGTCCAAACTGCTCTCGTCGCATTGAGTGCGACTCTGGCTGCCGCTGTCAAGCCTCTCACCGTCAAGGGCAATGCCTTCGTCACTGAGGGCGGCGAAAAGTTCCAGATCGTAGGTGTCGACTACCAGATTGGCGGCAGCGCCGGCTACGACCCTTCCCACGGTCGCGACCCCCTCAGCGATGGTGACATTTGCCTGCGCGATGCTGCCCTTCTGCAGCGCCTGGGCGCCAACGCCATCCGCGTCTACAACCTGGACCCCAACTTGAACCATGATGCTTGCGCTTCCGTCTTTAACGCAGCTGGCATGTACATGATTCTCGACGTCAACTCTCCCCTCGTCGGCGAGAGTATCACGAGTTTCGAGCCCTGGACCAGCTACTACGCTGCCTACCTCAACCGCACCTTCGCCATCGTCGAGGCTTTCAAGAGCTACCCCAACACCCTCGCCTTCTTCTCCGGCAATGAGGTCATGAATAACGTTCAGACGGCCGAGTTCGTTCCCCAGTACCTCCGCGCCGTCACTCGCGACTTGAAGAACTACATCGCCAAGCACTCCGACCGCGCCATCCCCGTCGGTTACTCCGCTGCTGACGTGCGCGAGATTCTCGTCGACTCCTGGAACTACCTGCAGTGTGCTGAGAACGGAGACGCCAAGGACCCCAGCCGCATCGATCTCTTCGGCCTCAACTCCTACTCGTGGTGCGGTGATTCCAGCTTCAAGACCTCCACCTACGACCAGCTCGTCTCTAGTCTGAAGGACACCTCTGTGCCCGTCTTCTTCTCCGAGTTTGGCTGCAACCAGGTCACCCCTCGCCCCTTCACCGAGATCGGCTCCATCTATGGCTCCGACATGAACTCCGTCTTCTCCGGAGGTCTCGTCTACGAGTACAGCCAGGAGGACAACAACTATGGTCTCGTCAAGGTCAATGACGATAAGTCCGTCAAGCTGCTCATTGACTACCAGAACCTTGCCACGCAGTACAAGAAGGTCGACTTCAAGACCCTGCAGGCCACTAAGGCTCCTTCCTCCTCTCCGGACCCTCCCAAGTGCGCCTCGTCCCTGATCAAGGAGAAGGGATTTAACAACAACTTCACCCTGCCGGACGTTCCCCCTGGTGGCCAGGACCTCATCGACAACGGTATCAAGAACAAGCCCTCTGGCAAGATCATCTCCATCTCCGACTGGACCGTCAAGCACAAGGTCTACGATGTTGATGGAAAGACGGAGATCACTGGCCTCGCCGTCTCTCCCCTTGCCGACTCCGACTCCAACACTCCCGGCACTAACACTGGCGGTACCACTATTCCTGCTGCCACCGGCACCTCCACCCCTACCGGCACTTCCACCCCTGCGTCGAGCACCACCCCCAATGCCGGCATCGCAGTGCGCCCCGAGGTTGCCGCTCTTGCTGCACCTCTGCTTGCTCTTTTGTTCTTGTAAAAGCTCTGGAAGCGTAAGCTGGATGTTGTATGTGGCTCATTAGGAAGGTTTGGAGGTAATGACTTGGTTTCTTTCTGGCATCATAGATTCCCCGCGGTTTGTTTATAAACCTCAATTGATACTTATTAAGACTTGAGCTATGGCGTACTAGATGTGATGAGTGCTTGAATATTGTGCAAGCTAAACCCCCTATAATTAGTGTAACTTGACACTGGCGATGGTTCGCGATCGTACGTATCACGATAGTTTGAGAGAGACATCTTGGGCATCTTGATGTATGATCTCACGTCTGAGACAGCCTATTCTGTATCGTCGTATATAAATAACGTACTCACGGGATATGATTGGCAGGGAGGCATCAAGATGCTGGTGGGCGCTGGGCTCATGTCTAGAAGCTATGTGCACCGGAGATGGAGGGCATCAATCTATGTTAGCCCATGCCGACCTTTGAACGTCATGGAAAAGGAGAGAAGCCGAGGTTGAACCCCCTGAGATCCGTTCGCTCCGTCACGTTCTTTCAGCCCTGGACGTATTCGTGAATGTAGGGCTTGAGCGAGATGGTCAGTGATTATTATAGAAATAGCGAGAAGACAGGGAGTATTAAGGAAGGAACGTGAGACTTACTACTTTGAAATCATAAAAAGAACTTTGACCTTAAGCAGACGTATCTAAGATGGATAGTGTGTAAGATCAAGACCCGATTGATCCCATTGTAAGGTGCCTGCCCGTGGCGTTGTTTAATCTTCCTAGGTAAGAGCAACGAAAGCTTTCAACAGACTGGAATAGTCTTGTGCTTTAAATACTACCTTGGCCGTGGAGGAATGTCATCTCGGCCTTGTGAAACTGAATGGTGTCCTTCACAGACTTTGCGGCGGGCGAAAGTGGCAAAAGCTCCCTGTAAGCCAGAACGTATCTCATCTTTATAGATTAATCTGGCTCTTGAACAGAATCAAATAAGCAGCCTCCTCTCGGCCTGACTGTACTGTGACGTATTGATAATAATAATCTCCCTAAGGGGAACAAAAGCTAACTATGTAATCACATACCAGAACGTGTATTGCTTTTATATCCTACCGTAGCTCTAAGATTATAGAGCCCCTTGGCCCTGTTCTCAAAAGTATCGCTGCTAATCCTCTCTGTTTTAACAGTCTGAAGCTCAAGGGTAAAAAGGAGATCTGCCCATTGACAAGGGCCTTTTGCCACCTTCCTCGCCCCAGTCCGGCCTCTTTATCAAGGACCCTACACGCTGTCACTAACCACGCTTCACTGGAAGGTGTGTAAAAGCGAGTGATACAAGGTGAAACGATGGAGTGTGGTGTTGGGTTATGTAAAGAGTATATAAATTTACGTTTAAAGCAAAGTGGATGGGCTGAGACTTTACGTTAGAAGAAGTAACGGCAGAGAACTAGATTGCTTTATAGCGATGAGATTCTACAGATATAGATACTTACAAACACTTGCCTCTTAAGCCATGAACTTGATCCAGAACAGGCAGGCCTTATCTTAGCCAGGCCGTGGCTCTCCAAGGTAACAAGATCAGCAATCATCTTATCCAGATCCCATCATCGTTCGACAACGGACTGGTTTCGCGCCTAGACGACAAATTTGAAAATGTTAATCCTTCTTTTCGCGTTCAAATGGTTCCTCCAAGTCATCCCCGGCCGTGAACATACTGAAAGTTCGCCATTTCATGGTCGTCTCGGTCGAACTAATCATGTCCGTGATATAGCTGGGAATTCTCGATATTGTGCAAAAGCTAAATACCCTTCTTGCCTTTTCTTAGCAAGAGTCATGACAGAAAAGGCAAGGGACGAAGCGCGCGTGGCATCTAGAGTACGTCAAGGGACTATAGATATACGTCTATGAAGAGGACTGAATAAGCTGGGGGCTTGGAAGGAACCACATCCACCAGCCGTTCTACGAACGCAATAAAAAGAGCTTGGGATGCCGTTTCCATCTGCAAAAGGCCGTACATGCTACGTCACTTTCTTCAGAGAGCCCAAGGACGAGATACCTGCCTTTCTATCCCTATATAAATGAGACAAAAGATAGGCTCTCCGTATGATCAGTCGGCCAGCTTGACACAGGAATATCAATAGTCTTTAACATCATCTTAAATTGATGACTGAACACACACACGCACACACACTAGACGAACATCGCTTTAATCACTTTGAGTCACAACAGCATTGAAACGAGAAACAAGCATTGAACCTCTAGTCAAGATCACATTACAGAGCGTCTAATTATTTGCTCATCTGATCGTCGACCATGCCCTCCATACATACGATACAAGGACCCGGCCCTCGACCTTCCTGTCAAGAGCATTTGTTGCACCAGCCGTCATAAACACCGTAAACTTTGCAAGCGTACAAGAAAGTGGGCAAGATGCCATTCCAAGTACCAGGCAAAAACTTTCCTTTCGTCTAAACCCGTGATACCAGAACTATGGCTCTCCAAGTCCACCCCCCCAAACACACATATTTCATTTCATTTATACCGTTTAACCTCTGAACTCCTCAGCGCCGCTGGCCTCCCATCTGCCGGGGACAAGGGCCAGGGGCACAATACCGGAGACGTGCATCTCGGGGCCGAAGATCTTGGCGTTCAGGCCAAGTTCTTGGGTGGCAGCCTTCATGTTCTTGAGACCCTCCTGGTAGTTGGGGCCGGCACGACGGACCCAGATCTGGACCTTGTGCTCGTTGAGCTGCTTGGCGTAGTCGCGGAGGGCGCGGATGACACCCTTGAATGTGCTGGCGACGTTGGTGAAGTTGGCGATACCACCACCAATGAAGAGGACCTTGCCCTTGTCGGTCAGGGGAGCGCGGAGCATGAGGTCGAGGACGGTGCGGGCGTAGTGGTAGGTCTGAGACTCGGTGGGAGCACCAGAGTACTCACCGTAGTTAGCGAGCTCGTCGGCGAAACCGGAAGAGGCAATGGCATCGGCGTAGACGACGGAAGCACCACCACCAGCGACCAGAGTCCAGATACGTCCGTTGGGGTTGAGGACGGTAAGCTTGAGGGAGGCACCGGTCTTGGCGTCAAGGTCGGCAATGTAGGCCTCCTCCTTGGTCAGCTCACGACCGAAGGGAGCGGGGAACTCCATCGGCGGGCCGGCATCGATGTTGACCTTCTCGCCGTTGGCGGCGGCGACGTTGGTCAGGCCGAGAGCGGCAGGGGAGCGGGCAATAGCCCACTTGACACCGCACTCGAAGTCGGCGGTCTGGTCGAGCTTGGCAGCAAGATCGAGGAAGTGCACAGAGGCGGAGGTGGCATCCTCGTTGGGGATGACAACGAGGGGGTTGATCTCGAGGTAGGTGAACTGGCACTCGACGTAGACGGCGTACAACCGGGTGATGAAGTCAACCAGCACGTTGTGAACACCCTTGGGGACCTTCTTCAACAGAGACGCGGCGATCTCGTCGTTGGAAGGGTATTGTGAGAGGTCGACGGGGATCAAGAGCTTCTCAGCCTTGGCGTCAACATCACCGACATCAACACCACCCTCGTGGGTGAAGAGGATCCAGTCGCCCTATCGGAAATCCATGATTAGCATCGATGATTTTATGTGAGGGTTTCGACAGATGAGGCATAAGGGCCGTCGTATGCAGATGGCAACTTCTGCAAGAGGCATGGGTGGACGGGGTGGACGGGCCACAGGCCTCGTCTCGTGGCATCCGTTCGTCCGGTTCGGGAGAAAAATTACCGGAAAGGGCAGTCCAGCGGCCGGAATCCACTTATTTGACCCATGGATAGGAAATGGCATAAAGCATGCAAATTCCCTTTCCACGGTTGCCAAACAAAGTTTTCTTCCAGTTATTCTCACTTTCAACCGTCGATGAGTTTCACTTTTGCAGTGTGATGATGCGTTGGTGTTTTCACACCCGCGCGACTCATTGATGGATGGACTGCCCACTCCGGCCCCGCCAACGAATTGGAGAAGACGGCCCGCCACGCCATGCCTCGCCACGAATGATCTGCTGCTGCCACAAAGCAACCGCCAGCTCAAAAGGGGAGGAAATCTGCGACAAAACTTACATCTCTGACGGACATGATGTTGATGTAGTACTCGGTGTCTTGAGGGTGGGGAACGAAGGGCTCGACGAGGAATTGGCGCAGGACACCAGTGACGGTCTCGACCTTCTGCTCCTTACCAGCACGCTCGGCGATCCAGGCGCGAGCCTCGGGCCAGGTCTTGTTGAGGGCCAGGAGACCGCTCTTGCCACGGCGCTTGATCAATTGATCGGGCTTGGCGACGAACTTGACACCGGGCTGGAGAACCCAGGGGTAGGTGACCTCGGCCTGGTTGAGGACATCCTCGACGTTGGCATCCTCGGGGAAGTGCAGAGAGCACAACCTGGGGGGAGGGTTGTGCTTGGTGGGGACGGGAAGAGGAGATGCCTTGATGACGGGAGCGCGGGTGAGGTGGTAGTTGAGGATAGCCTTGCCGTCGGCCTCGAGGATGGACTTGGCGGACATTCTGGCGGTTGTGAGGTGAGAAAGAGGTGAGTTTTCTTGAGAGTTCTTTTCCCTGCTTTATTTTGCCTGAATTGGGAGCGGACTGGTCAGCGATTGCCTTTGGAAAACGAAGTATATTTGTGTGGCTCGGAGGTGGAGTTTGGAGTTTCGCTGCCAGTCAGCCAGCAGCAGACTTTCTTTCAGCTGGCTGAGCTTCTGGTAAGGAGCTTCGTGGGCGGCAAATGTCACCACGGCAAGCAAGCGGAAGGCTCCAGATGTTCGCGCCGAGCTCTGGAAGAGGGGCTATCACGATCCAACTGGAGACTCGGCTGGGATGGAGGAAAGACGAGGCGACAAGATTGAGCTTTGGAAGAGTGTTTGGCTGCAGTGAGAACATACCAAGAGAGAGAGAGCAAGTGCTACCAGGCGACGAAGTCGAAGTCTGGGGACGAAGTTGTGGTGAAGACCTGAAATCAAGTGAATGTCAGGAATCGGAGGTCGAATCGAAGTCGAGTCGAGTCAAGCAGAGCGGTGTGTGAGGGAAGAAAGAAGCGGCGAGGTTGAAGGAGAAGTATGGATTGGGGAGTGGGAGGAATGGAGTGGAAGGAGAGAAGCTGTGCTGGTGCGTGGAGAGAGAGGGAGAAGATCGTCAGCCTTTCAAAATTTTGGATTCTGTCGAAGCTCCCAGGGATTATTTGTTGCTGGGACTTCGGGGAGAGGAAGAGCAGGAAGAGCGGACGAAGGAGGAGGGGGTGGGTGTGCGTTTGTGTGTGTGTGTGTGTGACGGTGGTGTGGTGGGTGGGAGGGGGAGGGGTGAGAAAGTGACGGGAGAGGGACGGGAGGTACATCTTGGGGCAACGAAGCGCGCCCAGGTACCGACCGGGATCGTTTTGGTGGCTTTGAAAATCGGTGGATTTTCACCTTTGCACCTTGAGGGAGCTAAGGGACCACGCCAAAAAGTTTTGGGGTGGTGCGTGTTGTGGTTGTGCGGTGCAGTGAGGTGCATTGGAACCAGACACCTGTGAGAATCTCTCGCAAGCTCCGGGAGTGGGAAAAAAAGAACTGGGGGGAGGGGAAAGTATTTTTGGGGACCGGGTGTATTTTTGAGAGGGGGGGTGGGAATTCGGGGAGCTCCAGCCCAGCTGTCCATGCACGCTACCCCTCGATGGCGGTGGCAGAACACACGACACCCTACAGGGGCACACTCGACATATCCGCAAAAAGCAAGAACGACTGCGAGGGAAAAACGGGTGGGAAAGTGCAAGTGCAAAGGTACTGAACCGGGAGGGAAGGGGCAACGGACAGCACAGGCAAGTACCTGTATCTGTACCTGCCCTATCTGCCCTATACCTTTCCCTCTCCTTCTTCTTGTTGGACTCACCTCGAAATTGGCGACAATCTTGCAGGTTGGACTGCAACAAGGTATGCAATAAAGGGATGGAGGGGTTGAGAAGGAAAATGCTGGCAGGGCAGGGGAATTCGACCAAGATGGAACCTAACGAAGAAAAAAAAAGTCTGGGGAGGGGGAATTTGGGAAAGGTGGATGAAAAAAAAGAGACAGGCAGTGGTTGTTGAGAGGTTTAAGTGGATCTCGTCTCGTACCTTTTGGAAAGTCACTCTGAGGTGCTCACTCACTGACAATATTGCAGGCTCTGAAGACCAAGGAAGACCGAGTGAGAATCTCTAGGAGAGGACGGGAAATGGGCAAAGAGAAACCTAACGAAATGGACAGCAACAATTATCGATTTTGCCTCCCAGGCGGCGCAAGGGCGGCATTTTTACATACAGCTACACGCACCACACAGTCGTGTCAGTACTCCGTCCACAGCATGGAAGTGTTGGACCACCACCTCTCCCGCCCTTTCCCGGATGATGGATCGATGCAACCCCAGCGCCAGAATGTCCGCCGAAAATCGCAGGGACCGCCATTTTTACATACACCTAGGTGCTGCATTGTTGTGCTCATCAACCTCACCTTCACAGATTCCAACATGGTCCATCAACATAGTGCAGGTGCACCACAGCCGAACGGGAAAGGGCGGAAGACAGACTGCTGGCTGCTGGATGGAGCTTGGGGAACGTTGCCGGTGCGGTGCGAAGCGGTACGGCGCATCATCCTCGTCGCTTCGTCGCTTACACCGGCTGTGGTCTTCCAATGCTTCCAGACGATTCTCCATTCTCGTGGGTTGGGGTTGCCTATCCGTACCTTACCTTACCTTGCGAAATTGGGGGTGGTCTGTTTCTGTTTCTGTCTGTCCCCCGTATCCGATCGAGATCAGGATCAGGCCCCTTGCCCAAAACGAACCAAGAGAAGGAAAGAAAGAAAACAAAAAAAAGCCGTTGTTTATCCACCAGCAGCCAGCGGGAGACTGAGAGTCGCGTTTCCAGTACTACCGATTCGGGCGCACTCGAGCGCCGCGGGATGACTATGTGATTTCGGACGTTTCTCATCTCGTGCGTGGGACAACGGACGGTAGCCCGGATGTCAGGTCAGATCCCCCCAAACTCGGTGTCAGTCAAAGTACGGAGACACAAATTGGTCCAGGAACCGGGCATTGGCGCCGTAATTAGCCATGGCGCTGGGATTGGCACCTGGGACGACGACCAAGCACAGTCATCAAATCAACCTCGAGTGAGACGTTGGACTGCCTGGTCAGACGGCACATCGACCCCTACTCGTTCTTCGCTCCTGTTGCCCACCTGCACCTAGCAATGCTTAGGCTCGCTCAGCATGACCTACCTGGCCCTGTCATTTTCGAAAACCAGATCTCCAAGCTACGACAAGGAGCCATTAGCCATGGCCGTTCGTGTTCCCGTACGAGTGTGCGTGGGAAGAAGCCAGAACAGCGGCTATTACTCGCGCATCCGGACGCAGTACACACACTCGGGTATCTCCAAAATGAAGGCGCGCAATGCCCGGTGGTCGGCGGAGTGACAATGGGGAGGACCGAAAACCGGCGGAGGTGGATGCGGCATGCCGGGTTTCGGGGAATGCGAGCATGGGTGCTGAAATGCCCGTTTGGGTCTTTTTCCTCTGTCCTTCTCTGCTTGTCCTAGGCGCGCGAGTCTTTTGAGTGCTTTTCCATTTTTTTTTTTCCATCTCCGTCGCCGTCGCCGGTCAGTTTCGGCCGTGGTTTCTTCGCGGCGCTTCGCATTTACGACTATCGCCGCCTTGTTCCGTCTGGCATCTGCAATGTCCTTGATTTTTTGCATCTGAATTTTCTCTCAAGCGGGTATCTTGCTGCTGCTTCTCTTCCCTCTTTGGTCGGATAGAGTAAGGTAGTGCATCATCCCAAGTGGCCTTGTACCCGTACATACCTGGATCTGGATGGATGCACAACATCGTCTCTTCCCCATTTCTCATTCTCACGCACACAAAATCCCACACAGGCTTCGAAATAATACCTCGATCCTTGGCTGACAGCAACCACTCTCCGTTCGCATGCAGCGATGGGAAGGAATACGGGCAAGGAGGCGAGGCTGTTTTAGTGACCGCCTCGCCCCCACTCAGACAGGCGAGCCTTCCAGTGCCTCTACCTGACGGTGTAAGCCCTGATGTTGGTTGTGTGGTTGTATACCTAGTATCAACGGTGTCTGGATAGGCGTGTGCGTGTGAACCAGTCGTGTTCAGATTGATTACAATCCCAGAAGCCATCCCGGCGGCCAAGTTGGCGAATGTTGATCCTCCCTGACAATCCAGTCCGAGGCCATTGGGCGAGACTCAAGGTGCGGTCAAACCAAAGTGCAGGCTGCTGCATTCCCGAATGCCCTGGTGCGTCAAGGTACGATAAGAGAGAGCGAGAGAGAGAGCTATGGGCGCCTCCCGACAAGAGAGGTATTGTTGGCGGTCAAGCGCCAGTGCCAGCCGAGCCGACTTGGTCTCAACTTGGACTGGTCGGGGCGGGGGGAGCTCCCGGAACTTGGAACATCCAATTGAGAGCAGATAGAGACACAACCGCCATTCGATATTGACACTGACATTGCGGTGACCGGCGGGCGGACACCGCCCGTCTCACTGGACGAGTTCCCTTTGAGGTCAAGTGTCCGTCTGTCGGATGATGGGATCTGGATCTTATCGTTGTGCGCTTGCTCTGTCTGTTCCATCTGTTTCTGCCTACCTGAACGTTTCTGAGAGGTGCGAGTTGCACCAAGATAGGAAGAAGAGAAGGGAAGGCGCCGAAAAAGACTGTGAGAGTCAGGGCTTGTGCAGGTACGCAGACCAGCCCGTCCGCGGATGGAGCTGGTACCGGTACCTGGTCTATCCGCAGTTGCAGCGTCCGTCTGGGCTCAAGCTCAGGTCCAGCCCAGGGCAGTAAGTGCCAGGCAGTTGTGGGACAGGGCAGCTTCCTTTGGGGCACGGGGGCACAGAGAGAGAGAGAGCATGAGCATGAGCATTTAGGTGAGGTGAGCTCCAATTTTGGCAAGGTGCTTGGCCACTAGCAGTCTAGCGCCCCCCAGGTACGGCCTCGCTTCCCTGTGCAAGTCTTTTCTTCACCCTGTCCATGGGGTGCAAGTACCTGAGCTCAGATTTCCTACCGGGACCTTTTTTCTGGGACCTTGCGGTACGTAGTCCGTAAGGTAAGGTACCCAGTGAGGTGAGGCTGTGTGGGGTCCGCCAGAAACAAGCGGGGGCCAAGGGTCCTTGCCCGTTTGCCTGGTTGGTGCGTGAGCTATGTGCCTTTGGGCGGTCCCATCGCATCTCCCTTTTTTCGCCTTTCCCTTCCCTGCCCGCTGGCCAATTCAACACTTCAACAATCCACGGGCCAATCATTTGGCGGTATTGGTCGGGAACTTCCCCAACTCTTTCGGCCGTCGCATGACGGAAGTCTCCATTTTCTCAATTCCCATTCCCCATCACCCCTCCATTCCACGCACCACCACGCACTACGCACCCCTCAAACCCAAGAGAAAAAAAAGTCTCAGGCTTCTCTCTCAGAGTCCCAATGGCCCGACTTTGGCAGAGTTGTGTGTCACTGCGCCGTCAAGCCGTCCCAAGAAAATCTACCGGGCCCCGTGCGAAGTACCTGAACCGACGCAGTGCCGGCCATACTGATCGCCCGTACCTTGCCTAGGTACTTGCTGATGTCGAGGACCCCTCCGCAAGGTACCTTAGCTCACCCGTACCCCTTCACTACAATGGAAGTCCACAACCACAGAGTCAACCCATCCGTTGCTTCTGGTTCACCATTTTCTGCCCGCCAGTTCTGTTCCTGCCGCTGCAAAGCATTGTTTGGCATTGTTGGTGACCAGCCATAATTGGGATTGGGATTGGCCCTTTTTTCTTTCTGATCTAGAGCCAAGGTACCTAATCTGGTCTTGTCTCGATAAGGACGTGTATAGACAGATACGGATAGCTTACCTTACCCTACCTTTAGTTGGGTAATGAAAGGTACTCTACGTGGTCGACTATGCTTGGGCAAAGTATCAGAGGTACCTCTTTCCAAAAGTTGACTTTGACTCGAACGCGGACCTGTCCCTTCCTCTCTTGTTGCTCGTTGCGTTGCTCCCTCGGATACTTGGGACGCAAGCCCGCCAAAACAATCCCTGCTCACCATCACCTCACACAAACGCAAGACGCACCCGCGCACCGCCATGTATGTACTTTGTCCGCACCACGCACCACGCACCACGCACTACATACGCACAGCACACCGTTCGTTCGTTCCTCCCACTCCCTTGCCGATTTCCGCTGGAGAGAATCCGACGTACACTAGCAAAAAGCAGAGAAAGGACAGAGAGAACCATGGTCCATGGAAAACAATACTTGCAAAAATACTAATTCCACCTCACCAAAAACTCACACCCTGCTGGTGGCCCGTCTCCGTGCTCCTCAACTACTTACGATACCCGACCTCCGTCCTCCTTCTTCTCCTCCGACCCTCGCTCACTCTCACTCGACTCTCTCTCTCTCGCTTTCCTCTCCTTCCCTCCTTCTTCTCACCCTCTTGCTGCTCTTGAGAAGCTTCCTTTTCTCTCTCCCTCTCTCTCTTACCCCCACGCCAATCCCTTTTCTCACCAAAGGATCTCTCCTCCGTCAGCTCGACAAAAAAAGAAGCTGGACTTTACCGTTGTGCGCCGCTGCTTGATCCCATCAATACCTACACCCATACCAGGGTAGACAGACAACAGCATCACCGCCTAGGTCAGTTACCGCTCCCCGAATCCTACCCACCCCGGTCATGTCAATCCTGCCCCTCCGACGCCTCTTTCCCACCTCCGAACGCTTCACACACACCTCATGTCACTTCCACACCCGCTCGCCGCCGCACATCGCATCAGACACGACCAGGACCAAAAAAAAAAAGTCTCTCCCACCAAGGAGCTGGGGCTACGCCAGCTACAAAGGTCCACTTAATGTCTGGTGGTGTCCCCAGCTGCCGATGAGCATGTAGCCTCGCAGATCCAACGATTTCAGCTTCCCTGAGCGAACTGTCGTCTCTCCGAGTCCCTCCTGAAATCTCACCTTCTCCCCACCATAATTCCGACTCGTTTGTTTTCCACCAAACTTCCTCTTACTACTCATCCTCCTCCTCCTCCACCTTCAACCTTTCCAATCCTTACTTTGGACATCTTTCTCCTTCATCTCTCTCGCGGGCAGACATCCATAGACTTGTTTCTGGCGCCCATTGTCTGTTTCGAACAAGCTTGCTGACCTTGTTACCCCTCGCCAGAATCTTTTTTCTTCTTCCCTTGTTGAGACTCTCATCCTCCCCGACGAAGCTCGACTTTCTTCACAATGCCTTCGGCCACCACCCCCGCTAACGGTGCCAATGGCGCCAAGGCAGCCAGCGGCCTGTCTGCCAACGACAACATCACACGCTTCTCGGCTCCCAGCCGTCCTTTGAGCCCTCTCCCCGAACACGCTCTGTTCAACGACAAGACCAGATGCTTCGTCTACGGTCTGCAGCCCCGCGCCGTCCAGGGTATGCTCGACTTCGACTTCATCTGCAAGCGCAAGACCCCCTCCGTCGCCGGTATCATCTACACTTTCGGTGGTCAGTTCGTCTCCAAGATGTACTGGGGAACCAGCGAGACTCTCCTGCCCGTCTACCAGGAGGTCCCCAAGGCCATTGCCAAGCACCCCGACGTTGACGTTGTCGTCAACTTCGCCTCCTCCCGAAGTGTCTACACCTCCACCATGGAGTTGATGGAGTTCCCCCAGATCAAGACCATTGCCATCATTGCTGAGGGTGTCCCCGAGCGCGTAAGTCGGTCTCTTCCCTCTGGATTCATACCCCGCTAACAAAAATGCAAGCGCGCTCGTGAGATCGCCCACAAGGCTCAGCAGAAGGGCATCACCATCATTGGCCCCGCCACTGTTGGTGGTATCAAGCCTGGCTGCTTCAAGATCGGTAACACTGGTGGCATGATGGACAACATTGTCGCCTCCAAGCTGTACCGCAAGGGTTCCGTTGGTTACGTCTCC